AAAAAGAAGAAGAAGGAACGCATTTGTAAGCATTATCCTGATGTCCGCACATATCCGGTGCATATTTGTTGTTTCCCCACCAACAACATTTATTGCGTTTATAACAGGTGACGATGATAACATCATTTGGTAGCTTGCAGTAATGTTTTTTAAATTGTATTCAGCACAAAAGTTACCCGAATGGGTTTCGGGTTCCCATTATGGAGGGGAAAAAATATATACCCACTGTCTCCTTAACAAACATGTCGTTGGAGTCGACTAACTGGGAGCTTCCTTCGAAGTTGAAGTGCATCTGCCCGAGCGGCAAGGAACAACCAGCTGCAAACAAAAAAGCCAGTACATGCAAAACTCAGGCCTTGGCACAAATGGACGAATAGCCAGGATTTTCTAGCCGAGTTTACAGCCGGTGAACAAAGAAGAAGAAGCATAAAAGTAGTGAAAATATAGTAGAGATTTTCTAGCCGAGTAAGGAATATGTTACATATGGTGTTAGTCTGTAATATCAGTTTGCTATGTGTCCGTGTCTATTTCATTGTCCGACTATGCCGTTATACCAGTATGTCACATAGGGCTCTCAGTCGGTTTCTTTGTTCCGTTCTGTCCGGGGTAGTCACAGTGAATGGAATCCAGTCCATTATCTTTATTCGCTGCATAGTTTCTCTTGAACGTCCTGCTTTCCTCATTCCCCTTATTTCCCATTTCTTTGCCTGACACCAAAACTTTTTTCAGTACTTAAAATATTCAAAATTTTAAAACTATAAATAGTGGTCCAAAGGACGTTATGTTGAGAAGCTCGCTCTCCTACGAAACACGCCTGGCCAAATCAGAAGGAGCTGAAACCAAGAAGGAAACATTAGAAATGAAAGGGCAAGAAAACACAGTTGACAACATGATGGCTTTCAGTGTGGGGTCTGAGATGGAGGAAAGAAGCATTAAGCCCAGAGACCGCGCAAAATACCATAATTTTAGCCACAAAAGTGGCGCAAAAAAAAAAAAAAAAAAACCACAAATACAGCCGGAGACTGTTGGCAGCTTCGGCTAGCTAGCAGCGGGTTGAACGTGGTTGAGTTTTTTTTGATTTTTTTTTTCTCAAAACTAATTGGATTTGAAACTTCGCTTCTTAGACCACAATTATATCCCAAACTTCTGGCAGTAGGTTGAACGTGGTAACTTTTTTATTTTGTTTCAATAAATGGATGGATGGATTCAGTCCCATTCACTCTAAAAAGTCGTTGATAACAAAACACTGTTCAGTTATTAAAACAGCGACTTAATTGTTTACCGTTCTATCGTGCACTCCGACAGTCCAACCTAAGATGTAGTAGCGATACTCATGTCTTCTCACAATATAGTGTCTACAGCATTCTGAATGTGACTAAATTTATTGTTTGTACATTTGTCATGTCATCGCACACGATTATCTTCATAAGCCATCAAATCACAAATCATTAATCGCCTAAATTGATTTTCACCACTCATCAAACCATGAATATCTGGGCTCCATAATAAACAGCAATAAAGACGGTTCAACGGCAGTCAAAAAGAGGGTGGCCATAGCAATACAATGATTAAGCAGCGTTAAAAGTCTAAGGTTAATGCTCATAGCGTTCAAAATAACAAAATATGACGCCCCCAGAACATAGGACAGCCTGTGGGAAATCTTGCCCCCGTCGTGATGGGGGTGATTTTCGTGATATGTACCCTCACAGTCTATTTCTTGGTCCGTCTTTCCCACTCCATACACGTAAAGGTTACGACACTGGAGAATATTGTTAAGAGAGATAAAACGTTAGTCATGCAGTCCTTGTCGGCGCGAGGTATGTCAGAACCCGTGGGTCTCAGACAACGGCTGGTAGGATAGAAATTACGCCAGCGATCTTCGACATTCAGCGAAGTTGTGTGGACCCGACAACCGTGTTTTACCGGGAACCACAAAGGCAGTTAAAAAAAGTAAATGTTGTTTCAGAAGTCATGCGCAATTGTAAAGTCTGTAACTCAGTAAAACTTTTGGATGTAAATTGTCAAATTTGGCCAGATTTGAATTTGCATTCAGACCAAAAGCAGTCTTGAAGGGGACCAGTCTCTTTGAGGACAGTCAGAGCCATATTTGATATAATACCCAAAAAAAAGGGGGGGGGGGGGTAGACTGCCTTCGAACATCCTTTTAACTGTAGCTTGTAGCCCAGCGGTGTAGCGACTAGATGCTTGCCCTCGAGCCTGAAGGTCGGGAGTTCGAATCCGAATCGAGTCGGATAGTTTTTCCAAACTTGGCTTCCAGGTCAGCCAAACCTAAAATGGGTACCAGGCAAACTCCTGGGAAGTAAAAGCGACCGGCATGTTGTTGACCTCATGGCTTTTCGAATGACGATTGGCATTATGCGTGCGATACGCCACAGACGTGAAAAGTGGCCATTAATTTACTTTATATGATATACATGGTTGATTGTAGAAATCGTAATTTAGCTTATGGAGTACATGTTGTGTATAGGTTATGTGATAAAGCTCATAGAATGCAATATGTAACTTTGTGAAATCATCATATGAATGTGAGGAATCTGCGGCAGATGGAAGCCGCCCGATTGACAATAAACAATACAAAGCTCAAGCTTCTGTTGCTGCCTGGGTGTATGATGCAAACACAGCTCATTGTGAGTACACTCGCTGAAATACTAGCTCAAATAGCAGCTTCGAATGTTCTTTCCAGAATTCCATAATGTGTAGTGTTCTTACCTGTCTGCTGGAATTCATAGTTTTATTGTACAAAATGTGGCAGAAAGTTTTAGTTAACGGTCATTTCAAATGAATCACTATTATAACGGTAAGGCAGAGAACACAATGAAATTAATCAAGAGATGAGAAAAAGATGCTGTCACTGGATAGGGCAAAGATTAAGAGAACTTGTTAGATTTTACTACTAAAATGGCATTTTACTAGAACTGCAATGCTTGGGGGGGGGGGGGGGGGGGAAGATATATATATATATATATATATATATATATATATATATATATATATATATATATATATATATATATATATATATATATATATATATATATATATATATATATATATAGAGAGAGAGAGAGAGAGAGAGAGAGAGAGAGAGAGAGAGATGGAAGAAAAATAAGACAGAAATGAAAACCATATTGAGATGCCAGAAGAAAGGATGGTTGATATAATTACATTGAATTTGAGCTTCGGTAGGGAAAGGGAAAAAACCACAACTGAATTACAAAGTGATGCACGAACACAGGGGCCAAGATATTTAATTGCCAGAGCCTATAACAAAAGAAGACAATATAAACCCTGTGATCAGTCGAACATGCTAAAGAAGCAGCTGTGGAAGACTGGCAACCTCATCCAGTAGAAAACGTAATTTTAGAATGAAACCAGTTATGGTCATGACTGCAAAGAACTTGGTCTGAGGTGGTTGAGGGTCTGTGCTCCTTTTGGCGTTTTATGGAGTTGAAATAATTCCTTTTCATTGAAGGAAAGAACACTGTATCAGTGTCCTGTTGTCACTTTCAGTCATCTCAGTTGCCATGAAAACAGTGTGGTTGGCACATTATGTGGCGGTTTACATCTGGGCTATGATATCTGCACTTTTGGCCTAACACATTTGATTTCATCAAACTTTTGATTAGAAGTAGTTTTTTAGTTGATTACTAAGGGGCAGTTGGTCTAACACACCTCTCCCCCGCCCCTCTGGAACCCGCACAGGTAAATGGATCTTTATCTCCAGACCTGATTTTAAACTCTTTCAAGCTTCTGTTTGTCCAAGTTATTCACTGCTCTCTTCTAACATGTATTGTTTTCTTAATCTTGCTCACTGACTGCCTTCAACTTTCCCCTCTAGTTTTGTTGTTAAAAGTGTGTTATATCTGTTGAAGCTGAAATATTTAGCGCCTATATTTTTTTTTTTTAAATTTCTTTCAGCAACTTTTTTTTTATTTTCAGCCTCCACAAAATCTGTATTTGATTGTTTTTGTTTATATGAAACATGACATATTCTTTTTGCACATGCACATCTCCAGGGACTCATTTTGATTGTCTGATTGCTTGTTCACTGTCACTTGTTTGCCTCATGTTGTAAGATTATGTGTGCATAACATATCTTCTTCTTAGCATTCAATGGCTGGAAACTGGAGTGAAAATTGATGGTTGTTTTCCACTTCTAGACTTTGATCTTATTTCAAAACTTGACTTTTATGCATTTCTCATTTTTAATGAGTGGTGTATCTCTCTAGAAGTTAGTACTTTCTCACTGTTTTGAAACAAATTCAAAAACAAAAAATAGTAATTTCACTTATCTTTTAACATTTCTGTTTAACTTCTGCAATCATCTGGTATGTGATGGTTTTAAACAAAAAGTAGAAGCTTCTGACTTCTTCTAGTATTACTGAGTTTATACTGATGCTATAATGTTCATGTTTCTGTTTAACTTCTGCAATCATCTGGTATGTGATGGTTTAAAAAAAAAGTAGAAGCTTCTGACTTCTTCTAGTATTACTGAGTTTATACTGATGCTATAATGTTCATGTTTCTGTTTAACTTCTGCAATCATCTGGTATGTGATGGTTTTAAAAAATAGTAGAAGCTTCTGACTTCTTCTAGTATTACTGAGTTTATACTGATGCTATAATGTTCATGTTTCTGTTTAACTTCTGCAATCATCTGGTATGTGATGGTTTAAAACAAAAGTAGAAGCTTCTGACTTCTTCTAGTATTACTGAGTTTATACTGATGCTATAATGTTCATGTTTCTGTTTAACTTCTGCAATCATCTGGTATGTGATGGTTTAAAAAAAAAGTAGAAGCTTCTGACTTCTTCTAGTATTACTGAGTTTATACTGATGCTATAATGTTCATGTTTCTGTTTAACTTCTGCAATCATCTGGTATGTGATGGTTTAAAACAAAAGTAGAAGCTTCTGACTTCTTCTAGTATTACTGAGTTTATACTGATGCTATAATGTTCATGTTTCTGTCTCTTGACAGGGTTATGATGGCTTTGAGGAGTTACGGAAATTTATCAAACAAGGAAGTGAATTCAGCAAGGAAATATCTGTTATTTTACAGGAGAGGTAAGTAAAGCTTCATGACTTCTGTGTCTGTTTAAATCCTATGATAGATTTGTTTGTGTAGGTTTTTTGTTTATATATGAATGATGTCTGTGTAGGTTTATGTGTTCTGTTTGTACCCTGGGGTGCAACTTTGGATTGGCAGGTGCTAGTGTGCATGGATGCATCAGTGAGTGAAAAGGCACATATATCTGTAAAAATCAAATGAATGTTATTTTAAGGTCAGTTTGATTGATTTCCTTCAGCTGTACTTTCCTTTGTGGCCTCACAACTTGTTAGTACTAAATGTTCAGTCACTTCATTTGTTTAGATTTGACTGAATGAATGAATCAAGAATTGACATCCCTGCACTCGGGACATTCCCACATGTGTTCCGTCTCCTTCCTCAGTAGCCAGCGAAGAGTCGATGTGCTAATAGTACCAGTTGCAACCTGATTAAAAGCATTGTCATAAGGTAGCTCACAACCCAGAGGAGCTGCCGCAGCCAGTCTATCAACCTGCTCATTAGCCCACACGCTAGAATATCCCAGACAGAATACCCTTGATTGCTCTTGATCTTATCAAGTGATGTAAGCCACTGTGCATAGGATGGCAGTTTCTGTTTTTTGAAGCATGCTCTGTGAATCTGTTACCACACATTGGACTGTGCTGCTCTCCAGCCATTGAAATCTGTCATTACTGCCTCCACCTCCATTCTCATACTATATGTTGGAACCTTATGTGTGAGGCTCTATGTTTTAAAACAGTGTCCATTCACCTTTGAAATAAAACCCTACCCACTCTTTATCTCTCTCACTTCAGATCCAATGGTGAATATAACAATTTCTCCTGGCAGTGAATTTTAATTGATCAGCTCTTGCACTGAAGCCTCTGTTTCACCAGCTATCCATTCCTGGCACCCTTTGTCCAAGATAACTATCACTCTTTTTGCACCATGTGCTATATATTGTCAGTAGCACAAACTTCTGCTTGTGCCATCCAGGAGCTACCTATTTTCAGCCAATGCCCCTTGCTATCCCCTAAAGCCTCATGTATAAGGTGTTTCCTTTCAATTGAGGTACATTTTCACCTGTGACACCTTGTATCTTTCATATATGAACAGCAGTATAAGTATATACCACATACACATGATTGGCTTGTCCCATGTACATCCCAAAACGACTTAAATGGCTTTATTTTGCATAAGTTCCAAATTCTGTGTTTGGCTGTTAGATAATTTGAGCAGGCCAAGACCATACTCCATCACTGAAATAATCGGTTGCTGGTAGAGTGTGTAGAGCATTCTCACTCCCATATCAGCTGATGCCATTACCTTCATTACATTAGGTCTCAAGATATTTCTGTGAATTTTCTCTTTTTATGTAACTACCATTTATTGTGATGTTTAAAACCTCATTTCTAACAACTGTATTATTTAATCAATACCACAATACAGCTGCCTTACCTGGGTTGATGATAGAACCTGTTTCCTCACACCACTCTTCTACCTTGTCTGCCGTGTTCTGCAGTTCTCTAGATATTTCTGTTCTGTTTTTTCCCTGTCTGTAGACTAACAAGTCATCAGCAAAAGTCACAATACTCCCAGTCCCCCCCCCCCCCCCCTCTTTGCTTCTATTGCCACCAGCCTGCTAGTGTGCAGGGCGAACAGCACAAGAGAAAAGCCGGACCCCTATGGGAGGCTTGGTGTGATACTACAGGGTTCGGAGCTCGCTCCCCCTCCCCCCCCCCCCATGTGGGTTCCGGGGCCTTTTTATAGGGAAAACAAGAACAGACCCACTGCCTACCCAAAAGCATGTCGTAAGAGTCGACTAATTGGGAGCTTCCTTCGAAGTCGGAGTGCATCTGCCTGAGAGGCAAGGAACCAACAGTCTGCACACAAATGTGTCAGATCTGTTAAACGGATGCACACAAAACACTCAGGGTATGTAACAGGACTGCCGTCCAGAAGTGGACAAACAACCAAAACTTTCCACCAGTTTACAGCTGCTGAACGCAAAGAAGAAGAAGAAGAAGAGCTCCACAAACCTAGACAAAAAGCAGTCTGACATTCATACAGACTGCTGCAGTCCAGTCAACAATACAGGGACATACCCCCATAGCCATAAGTGTGTGCAATAAAGCGTCATATCTAGCCCTATTATGTACATCTTCTAGATCCAGTTCCGCCATCACTGTTTCCTGTCTATTCTGAAACCCCTCGTAAACAACATAAGCCAGGATTGCATCAATGTCTCACGTGTCTTGTCTTGGTGGATAACTACCTTACCCTCTAGGCAGGAGTCAGTGTTTCTCTAGGTATTCCTGCAATTTCCCCGCCAATATCTTTTCTGTAATTTTTCCAAATGCATTTTGTAAGGTAATAATTCCATAACCGTTTATGTTTGGATGTTTTTTTATTACTTCAGGAGTTGTACAAGGTAACTTTGCAGCCATTCCATATAACAGTAGAATGTTAAACATAATCTATTAACAGAAAAACTCAATTTGAGGTGTGTTGGGTAGCTACAAATAGACTATACCATTCGAAAATGACGTGTGTTTTTTTTTTTTCAATTATGAGTGCGAAAATTGTTTGGCAAAATATTTCATTAAGCATCATAAAGAGCCTATGATCATTTTCCAGTAATAAAAGAAAATTAAATTGTTGTGTATTTTCTTTTTTCCTCTAACATTTAGCTCCCAAAGTAGGCCCTTAACTTTCTAGAAAAAGCTGTGATTTTAATCATTCTTCTATAAAACTACACCTCTGCAGTTTCCACATAATTTGTCACTAATAAGTAGACTATCCATGATTCACTTCACATTTGGATTGGCACAGTATAGCTCTTAAGAACTGTCAGTTGGCAGAGACAGATCTTCCACATTGCACATGAAAAATTTCACTAATCCTTTCAATACCTGAAGGTGTAACCACAGATTAAGAAAACATAGGAGAGGGATAATCACTTTGGAAAAAAAAAGGAATACAGAAATTTCACAGTGGATTAACTTGTCTAAAACACACATGGATGTGACATTAAAGCTAGATGTCCTTAGTTTTGGTTTGGTAAAATTAGTAAAAATTACAGAATAGAGCTAATCGGTATAAGAAGACAGCAGAAGCATGCAGATCATAATATTTTAGTCTGTGATTGGAACATATAAACTAAGAGCACACCTACATTCGTCTTCTTCGTGTTCACTGGCTGTAAACTCCGGTGGAAAGTTCTGGTTGTTAGTCCACTTCTGGACTGCAGTCCTGTTCCAGATCCTGAGTGTTGTGTGTGCATCCGCTTGACAGATGTGACTAATTTCTATGCAGACTGTTGGTTCCTTGCCTCTCAGGCAGATGCACTCTGACTTCAAAGGAAGCTCCCAATTAGTTGACTCTTATGACATGCTTTTGGGTAGGCAGTGGGTCTATTCTTGTTTTTCCTATAATAGGGCCTCGGAACCCACACGGGGAACACCTACATCTAATGGGTCTCACTAATTCTGTCACATGTGGTTGTCAAAACAAACTCCAGAGCATATCTTAAAAAATTGCCCACATCTTGCCAGCCAGGGAGAAGAAATCTGGCCAGCAGGAGTGACCCTGCAAGGCAAACTATGTTGAAGAACTCAAGCACACGTTCATGTTTGTGACCCATGCTGGAATGAATGCTTGGTACACATTGATTGCTGTAAGAGAAGAAGAAGTCTGGTAAACCACACAAAATGGCAATGTATTATTCAGTGGTTGAAATTCACAGGGAAGAGCCAATAACAGATAATACTTTTTTTTTTGCATAGGACAGACATTTTATTGGAAAGAGCCCACTACCTTGCAGTTTTTATGGGAAACAATTAGTGCTTTTGAGATTAAATGCCAAAGAAGAATGTTTTAGAATACCATGGGCCAAGAAGAAAAGAAATATTGTCATTGTAAAAGATTTGAACATTGAGGGGGAAGTTGGCCTGTAAACAACATCCTGTCTCAGACACTGAAATACCTTGACCATACTAAACGTCACAAGGGCGTGGGAAGAACAGTAATGGAGGGCACCTTACCAGGTAACAGAGGCTGGGGCCGACCAGCATGAAGGGGAGTACAGGAAAATAAGAGACACTTCTAGTAGGAAAGTACATGAGCTGGAGGGACAGAGTTTCCTTCTGGCAGGCTGTTGAGTTGAGTTAATTCTAGAACCGACATTACAGCACTCAGGGAATTCCCATAAGCACTCCATCCCCATCTTCAGCAGCCAGCGAAGAACTCTCCGCAGGCTGTGAAGGGAACAACATTCTGTAAACAACCTGCTACATGATGATGATGATGATGACGTTTTTACTGATTCGAAGATGACACTAAAATTAAATTTTTATTTTTATTTTCCTGCTTAAATTCAGATCCGAAGCAGAACTCACCTATTCTAAAAGCTTGAGTAAAATTGCTGCTAAACTGCTGAAAGTGTGTGCCGGTGGTATTGGGTATGTATATTTGATCTTGTTTGCATCCACAGTTTAACACCCATTTATCAGTTTGTCATCATAAGCTTGCTTGTCATTGCTGTGTAAATCAACAACTTCAGCTTCAAAGTCACTTTATGCCTTTGACATTATGGTCAAAATCTTCAGCCTTACAAGTTATTGTTTTTCTGCATTTGCCCACAAAATGGCATTTGGTGTATGGTGCTGCGGTTTACAGCTGGGCTATGATATCTGCACTTTTTTGGCCAAACACATCGGATTTCAGTAAACCCTTAATTAGTCACTGTTTATGGCATGCTTGTTAAAGTGGCAGTTGGCCTATTCTCCATCCCTCTAAAAGGACACCCTGCAAACCTACATAGGGAACAAGATGTTTGGGTCACTTTCGTGGCTGTCTCAGTGCAAAACTTGGTACAAGAAAATATTTATAATATTATATTTTCCAATTCTGACACTTTTAGTGAAGCCTGTCTTTTCTATCTTCTTCTTTTTTTTTCTTTCTAAATGTAATAACTGCCTCACTGTACATTCTGCTTTATTATTTAATATTTATATTTTCTAATGATTTTTTGCTGTTTGTTTAATTCAAATTCTCCCTTTTTTATTATTTGAATTCTCCATCTTTTGTCATTTGAATTCTCTCTGTGTGTTATTTCTAATAGCTTTTTTTCAAGCTTTTGGTTCCCGACTAATGAATGCCTTACTTGGGCAGGATGTTGACCACATCACTCACCAAGTGCTGATTGGTCTAGAAATATAGGTCTGGCCCAGTACGCCTGAAAGCTTGGAAAGGGTCCTTTACTGTTTACTTTACTGAAAGCATGGCTACACTTTCTGCTGTACTATCTAACTGAAAGCATGGCTACACTTTCTGCTGTACTATCTAACTGAAAGCATGGCTACACTTTCTGCTGTACTATCTTATATTTAAATTTGTATAATTCATTTGTTTTATTTATTTTATTGTAGCACCCTGTCAGAAGGATGGAAGTCAGTGTTTACTTTACTGAAAGCATGGCTACACTTTCTGCTGTACTATCTTATATTTAAATTTGTATAATTCATTTGTTTTATTTATTTTATTTTAGCACCCTGTCAGAAGGATGGAAGTCAGTGTTTACTTTACTGAAAGCATGGCTACACTTTCTGCTGAACTATCTAATATTTAAATTTGTATAATTCATTTGTTTTATTTATTTCATTTTAGCACCCTGTCAGAAGGATGGAAGTCAGTGTTTACTTTACTGAAAGCATGGCTACACTTTCTGCTGTACTATCTTATATTTAAATTTGTATGATTCATTTGTTTTATTTATTTTATTGTAGCACCCTGTCAGAAGGATGGAAGTCAGTGTTTACTTTACTGAAAGCTACATGGTACTATCATATTTAAATTTGTATAATTCATTTGTTTTATTTATGTCATTTTAGCACCCTGTCAGAAGGATGGAAGTCTTATATTTACTGAAAGCAAACTTTTTGTACTATCTAATTTCATTCATTTGTTTTATTTATTTCATTTTAGCACCCTGTCAGAAGGATGGAAGTCAGTGTTTACTTTACTGAAAGCATCGCTACACTTTCTGCTGTACTAATATCTAATATTTATTTGTAATATTTAGTGTTTACTTTAATTTGTATAATTGTAGCACCCTGTCAGAAAGGATGAAGTCAGTTCATGCTACATTTGTTTAATTTATTTGTATTTCATTGTAGCACCCTGTCAGAAGGATGGAAGTCAGTGTTTACTTTACTGAAAGCATGGCTACACTTTTTGCTGTACTGTAATATTTAACTGTATAATTCATTTGGCTAGCACACTTTCAGAAGGATGGAAGTCAGTGTTTACTTTACTGAAAGCATGGCTACACTTTCTGCTGTACTATCTAACTGAAAGCATGGCTACACTTTCTGCTGTACTATCTAACTGAAAGCATGGCTACACTTTCTGCTGTACTATCTAACTGAAAGCATGGCTACACTTTCTGCTGATATATATAATATTTAAATTTGTATAATTCATTTGTTTTATTTATTTTATTGTAGCACCCTGTCAGAAGGATGGAAGTCAGTGTTTACTTTACTGAAAGCATGGCTACACTTTCTGCTGTACTATCTTATATTTAAATTTGTATGATTCATTTGTTTTATTTATTTTATTGTAGCACCCTGTCAGAAGGATGGAAGTCAGTGTTTACTTTACTGAAAGCATGGCTACACTTTCTGCTGTACTATCTTATATTTAAATTTGTATAATTCATTTGTTTTATTTATTTCATTTTAGCACCCTGTCAGAAGGATGGAAGTCAGTGTTTACTTTACTGAAAGCATCGCTACACTTTCTGCTGTACTATCTAATATTTAAATTTGTATAATTCATTTGTTTTATTTATTTCATTTTAGCACCCTGTCAGAAGGATGGAAGTCAGTGTTTACTTTACTGAAAGCATCGCTACACTTTCTGCTGTACTATCTTATATTTAAATTTGTATAATTCATTTGTTTTTTTTATTTTATTGTAGCACCCTGTCAGAAGGATGGAAGTCAGTGTTTACTTTACTGAAAGCATGGCTACACTTTCTGCTGTACTATCTTATATTTAAATTTGTATAATTCATTTGTTTTATTTATTTCATTTTAGCACCCTGTCAGAAGGATGGAAGTCAGTGTTTACTTTACTGAAAGCATCGCTACACTTTCTGCTGTACTATCTAATATTTAAATTTGTATAATTCATTTGTTTAATTTATTTTATTGTAGCACCCTGTCAGAAGGATGGAAGTCAGTGTTTACTTTACTGAAAGCATGGCTACACTTTCTGCTGAACTATCTAATATTTAAATTCGTAGAATTAATTTGTTTTATTTATTTTATTGTAGCACCCTGTCAGAAGGATGGAAGTCAGTGTTTACTTTACTGAAAGCATGGCTACACTTTCTGCTGTACTATCTAATATTTAAATTTGTATAATTCATTTGTTTAATTTATTTTATTGTAGCACCCTGTCAGAAGGATGGAAGTCAGTGTTTACTTTACTGAAAGCATGGCTACACTTTCTGCTGTACTATCTTATATTTAAATTTGTATAATTCATTTGTTTTATTTATTTCATTTTAGCACCCTGTCAGAAGGATGGAAGTCAGTGTTTACTTTACTGAAAGCATCGCTACACTTTCTGCTGTACTATCTAATATTTAAATTTGTATAATTCATTTGTTTAATTTATTTTATTGTAGCACCCTGTCAGAAGGATGGAAGTCAGTGTTTACTTTATTGAAAGCATGGCTACACTTTCTGCTGTACTATCTAATTTTTAAATTTGTAGAATTAATTTGTTTAATTTATTTTATTGTAGCACCCTGTCAGAAGGATGGAAGTCAGTGTTTACTTTACTGAAAGCAGCGCTACACTTTCTGCTGTACTATCTAATATTTAAATTTGTAGAATTAATTTGTTTTATTTATTTCATTTTAGCACCCTGTCAGAAGGATGGAAGTCAGTGTTTACTTTACTGAAAGCATCGCTACACTTTCTGCTGTACTATCTAATATTTAAATTTGTATAATTCATTTGTTTAATTTATTTTATTGTAGCACCCTGTCAGAAGGATGGAAGTCAGTGTTTACTTTACTGAAAGCATGGCTACACTTTCTGCTGTACTATCTAATTTTTAAATTTGTAGAATTAATTTGTTTAATTTATTTTATTGTAGCACCCTGTCAGAAGGATGGAAGTCAGTGTTTACTTTACTGAAAGCAGCGCTACACTTTCTGCTGTACTATCTAATATTTAAATTTGTAGAATTAATTTGTTTTGTGTATTTTATTGTAGCACCCTGTCAGAAGAATGGAAGTCAGTGTTTACTTTACTGAAAGCAGCGCTACACTTTCTGCTGTACTATCTAATATTTAAATTTGTAGAATTAATTTGTTTTGTGTATTTTATTGTAGCACCCTGTCAGAAGGATGGAAGTCGGTTGGTACAGTAATGGAGCAGGAGGCAGACTTGCACAAGTATGACTGCATTCTTATTGCTTTTATTGTAAGAATAGCATATACATGTTTACAGTGTGTAGTGACAATTTATGAGCTCTTTGTTACACAAATTTAAGATGTGAACACTGTGCAAGAAGTCGAGAATGAATCATAATACTGGTGTCAACAGTTATAAGACAAAGAAAATGGGCACATATTAGGCACATTCTGAGAAGAAACAAGCATAGAAAACAATTCAATACAAGGTTAGCCGTAACCACTTTCAGCTAGGGTAAGAAAACATTGCTGCTCTCTGCCCCTAATTCGCTATATTTGTGGTTACTGGACAGGCTGTCTTCGAATCAGTCAGTCCTTTGTGTTTGTCAGTTTCGAATCACCTGCTGTTTTTCATGGCATCTTTTCATTGTGTTTCTCTCGACTCTGGCCGTTCTTGCTCTGCGCTCCGGTTTCTAGGCTTGGCTGCTCTGCTGTCATGGCAGGTTATGGTGAGTTTTGCAGGTTGGTGCATTCAAGGAGCGGATAACTGCTGCCCTAAAGAGAACTGGCAGGTTGGTGCCTGGGGCAGCGCAGCGGAGGGTGATGGGTGGGATATGGTGCTGCTCTTGTGGGTCTCTTCTGTCTTGGCTGTCTGGCGCTGCTTGCTCATTGGGTTTCAAGTGGGTTGGTGCTGGCGGCTTAGTTTTTGGTGTTATTTTGAAAGTTCAAGATAGTCACCTGACCACCATGGCAGTATTACACACACACTCATGTAATGTGATTTATCTATTTCAGTGTAAAGAATTCAATTTTTGCTTCATTATGTGTTGATGTAACTATAGTAATCCCACCTCTTGAGATAAACAAAATATGCCAGGTCAGAAATCACTCCTTCATACTCCAGAAATTATTGTCATACAGTGGAAAAGATTTGGTATAATATTTTAGGACTGTGTTTTGACATTTATTAAAAAGGACAGTAATTGATGTAGGGTGAAATAATTGATCACTGTTGCTCTTATTTGTCTTTTATAATACTCTGTTCATGAATATGTTTTCTCCATTTTTGTGATAGAAATCTAAGTATTGGTTTTGTGGAAGACATCAGCAAACCTTTGAAAACTTTTGTAGAAGCACAGATCAAGGCTAGAAAACCGGTGAGTTTTCCTGTCACAAGTCCTTGTAAATTGGGGGTTTCTATGGCGAAGTGATTCAGCTGTTTGCCTCACGCTGTGAAGGTCGTGGGTTCGTTCCACGGCTGCGCCCTTCAGTTTATGAGTGTAATTTTTACGGAGATCCCTGGGCATCGTCGCCTGAGCTACGGAGTTTGGGCTCTGCTCGGCGCTCTTGTCAAGCGTCTAGTTTCTGCGGAGAGAGACTAATTTATCTGGGATAAAACCCGGTGCAGTTAAATCGATCTTCTCACTTTAACCTTTAACCTGTAAATTCATTTATTAAGTAATAATCATTGGACAATATCAGCTATACATTTTTTGAAAGAATTAGATCACAGCTGACAGGGTGACTAAGGGTTAAAGGAGGATCACCAGTTTCACATCATAGAACATGGATTCTAATTGCGTGTAAAGTCAACGGTTTTTTTCATATTATGTAGGCAGCTGTCTGTCCCTAGAGATCATCAAGTTGTGCCGCTGGTTATGGAAACAGTGTCTGCTATGACAGTACAATCCAATGCAGAGGTGGCAATCTCTGCCACATAGTCCGCATTAAAACATTGATTTTGTATTATACTGAAGCTGGTTTTCTCCCAGATGTCTCCTCTATATAGCATGTTGCATTTAGCCTCTTGCAAAATATGACAGTCCGCCTTTCACTGTCTGCCTTCATAGGAGTCCGTCTGCAGCTGATCTCTCCCAAGTGTCTGTATCATTGTTGGTATCTTTCCAGTTGTGTTTTCATATGTCCTTAAAGCGTAGCCTAGGTCTTCTCATATCATAGGTGAAATCAATATTCTAGTCTGCACACTTTGTGGCCACTGCTTAAAGCTGGTGACTTTTGTATCTCATCATCATAATCACCAAATACAATCTTCACAGTTGAGGTCAGCTGTAATGAAGCCCCATTATATACTGATCTGCATACCTCAGAAACCCTCCTGAAAAAAAAAAAAAAAACAGGCAGTGGTTTGGGGCTAGAGGCGGGGGTGGGCAGTAAATTTTGTTTTTAGTTGACCAAAAACATGTCTTCAAGATACATTTAACTTGCCACCACCACGGGGATTTGTAGATGCCACTTCTGAGTGAATAACTTCTAGGGGACTAGATCACTTAGAGGCAGTTGAATAACCTAGAGATGACTAGGTAACTTAGAGGTTACTAGACAACTTAGTGGTGACTAGACAACTTTGTGGTGACTAGATAACTTAAAGGTAACAACTAGATAATTTAGAGGGGAATAGACAACTTAGAGGTGATTAGATAACTTAGTGGTGACTAAGATATCTTGAAGGTGACTAGATAACTTAGAATTGACTAGACAACTTAATGATGACTAAGATGTTTTAGAGATGACTAGATAACATTTAGGTGATTAGATAACCTTATGGTGACTAAGATATTGTGAAGGTGACAAGATAACCTAGAGGTGACTAGACAACTTAGAAGTGACAAGACAATTTAATGATGACTGAGATATTTTAGAGGTGACTAGATAACATTTAGGTGATTATATAACATAGAGATGACTAGATAACTTAGATTGACTAGATAACTTAGAAGTGACTAGAAAACCTAATGGTGACTAAGATATTGTAGAGGTGACTAGATAACATAGAAGTGATCAGATAAAATAGAGATGACTAGATAACTTAGAAGTGACTAGAAAACCTAATGGTGACTAAGATAGTGTAGAGGTGACTAGATAACATAGAAGTGATCAGATAACACGGAGATGACTAGATAACTTAGAGATGACTAGACAGCTTAGAAGTGACTAGACAACGTAATGGTGACTAAGATAACCAAAGAGCTGATTAGATAACATAGAGATGACTAGAAAACTTAGAGATGGTGTCTAAGATAACTTAGAGGAAACCAGAAAACATAGAGGTGGCTAGATAAGCTATGAGAAGACTATATAACTAAGAGATGACAAGGCAACTTAAACGTGTCAATATAAAATGTTAGATATTCAAGATTTCTGATAATTTAATATTGTTAGATTCAGCTCTTAAATTTGTTAGTTTACTGTACACCATAATTTTACGTTATCAATTTTACCACATGAGCTTTTGCTAATTATTATTATTTTACCAATTGATTTTACCACATTAGATTTCTGTGAGATGTTTATCTTTAAGACTGCATCTAATTTTATTTTTGCCAAGCTCACTCTTTGCAGTTTGGGATAACATCACTCTTAAAAGCTTCAAGTTTTTTTCATCTCTTTTGTTAAATGTTTCATTGCCAGTAGTGCTATGGGCCAGATATGCCTAGCAATTATTCTATTTTTATTTATTTTCTGTGACATTTGTTGAATGATTTTATCATATATTTTTACAGTTGGAGGCAGCGGTTGATAAATCATATAAAAACCTCATGGACAGAAGAGCTGAAGAATTTAAAGTAAGAAAACTGTATTTACTTTTGTGTCAGTTATTACAGACTTTAATATTTTGATGCCGTTTTGAAACTATTTTAGTCTTTAACAGTGCATGTAGGGTGGATGGTTTTTTTTTCTCAGCAGGAAAGACAAAGTACAGTTATAACCCCTGAAGTTAGACAATAGGAGTGCAGAATAGGAGGAGGGAAACCACTGTAATTTTGGAATCAACCTAGACTCCTACAATTGGTGCAAGATACTTTTCTAGGAATTTTGGGGTGGAAGAAATGGTGGTGAGGAAGGGAACTGACACATTCACCTTATTATGTTGTAACCTAGAACATGTGGAAACCTAATTCTTCACACACAACTGACTTTTCTGTCATGAGAATCCTTTATTATTATTATTATTAATATTATTATTGTTTTTGTTATTGCTGCATAGACAATATACAGTATAATGATGGTTACTGTGTGTTAATCTAGTCATTTGTGTGTGATTTCAGTGCAAGAAGCATGCATATTCTTGTTGCAGAGACTACGAGAAAGCAGAAGCTTCTGTAAGTGAGGCTAAATTAGGGAAAGGAAAGGATGTTGGAAAGGTAATGTAATAGATTTTAGCATTTACTGAGGTCATATTTGGTTTCTTTATTTGTTGAGTGAGATTTTCTATATTAAAATATTGAAGTCTGAGATTTTGAAAGTTACCTCACAGATGTTGAGCTGAATTAAGATTGACATCATGGCATTTGGGACAACCCCATAGAACTCCATCTCCATCGTCAACAGCCAGCACAGAGTTCCACTTTCTCTGGTACCAGTAGCAGTCTGACTGTTTGTCCATCTTGCCTTTTGCCCTGAGTGTTAAGTGTCAGCTAGATCCCTTGCTCAGTCCCCACTGCACTATTCTCTGCACACGACAAAGTTGAATCTTTTTGAAATATGGTAATGCTGAAAAACTGCTAGAACCCAGTTTATATTTCTGAACAGATAAATTTGCCTTTTCTTTGTTAAATTAAAGGACACCACAGGTCATGAAGAAGAGAATTATTTTGAAAATTAACCTGGGATTCTGTGTTGATTCAGCTTAAACTGTATCCCAGAAATTAAATTGAAATAAAATTTAAGATATTGACCACATCCTTCATCAGCTACTAAATTTTCTTTACAAATTTGAGGCTACTAGCATCAAATACTCAGTAGCGGCATCCGTGGTTAGGCATTGTGAGTCTGACTCGTAATTCCAACTTACTGCGATCGAAACCCACTGCTGGCATGCGTCGATTTTCATCATGGTATGGGGTGTCACAGGTAGAACCAGCCTAAAATGGGTACCAGGATGGTCTGTCCTGGGGAAGTAAAGATGGCTGGCGTAATGTTGTTGACCACATTACCCACCTAGTGCCAATTAGTCTGTTAAAAAAAATATGCCTAAGGCGTAACAAGGGATCTTTACTTTTTTTATTTATGAAATACTTAGTAGAGGGACATAGAGCATGAGTTAGACCAAGAGCAAGATGGAAAGATAACAATAGAGAAACTCTACAACTGTACAATGTAACTGTGGTTGAGGTGGCCATGAAAGCCAGAAGCAGAACCTTCTCTTCACACTGAAGTGGTAAAAAAGGAAGTGAAGAAAAAGAAGAAGACCATGTACTTAGATACACCTGAGTGTGTCGAAAAGGCTTCTTAACTTTTATACCACACATGGTACAGATTTATTTCCCCTGTGATCCACAGAAAGCCTCAGTCATACCATGGCACAGAATGCATGTCCCATGTGTATTGGTTATGTTGCTCGAACACATTAGGGTAGCAAAGAATAGCAGCACTAACCTACCATGCGTGTTGTAACAGGTAACTAAGGAGAGTATACATGAGACTAGCTACCTTATCCTGTGATATAATTCAGCTCTTTCCATATCAACAACTCACCATGCATTAAGATGGATTGCACCGATATTGTTAATGCCTTTAGTAAAATGGACGATGGTAATTCTTTGGCAGCAGCCTGTCCACATCACTGCTAAGAAAATTGGGAGTACAAATTGGCATAGCCAGGTAGGAAAGGCACACAGGACATACAAGAAGTCTTGTTAACCAGTAGAGGATGGGCAGTCTTAACCACTGGATGCTGATATATGTGTTGAAGGGGTATCTGAGCATCTGTGGATTTGTCTGAAGCTCATAGCTCAACTTGCATTAGTTAGTTGCTGTCAACATGCTATATTGTTTTAATGGTTTCTGCTTGATCCAGTTTCTACACTAACCACCTTTGCTCCTATTTATACTTTCACCTTGCAATTTTATGGAGTTATTTTTTTACCCCTTCAGATTAAACATTTTCTTAAACTGTTGATTAGAACGATTTAAAGTAACACCTGCTAGGACTGAAAGAGTTAACTTCAGTCTGTCAGGAACAAGTCGTATAGAGCTTGGCTTGCAATGAGGGCCTCTTGCCCGTTGGTAAATGAAAGAAGTAAGAAAAAGAAGGAATGATAAGGAAGTCAGACATCCTAAACTCTCAGCAGTTTTCTTCTCAGTAAACAATAGACAGACAGATTGTTAAGCTGTTGTGCCATTTGATTTGTCTGCTACTTTGAACATATTAAAGTTTCTCTGTTTCCATCAGGTTGAGAAGAAAAGCAAACAACTGCTGGCACTTCTCAAGAAGGCTGACAAAGAGTATACTGATGCATGTTACAAAGCAGAATTTGCTCGACAGGATTGGGACTTGATAGTTGCTAAAGTTAGTTGTTCTCATTTCTCAAAAGCTTGTCTTGACCTGCTGTGTTTGTGATTAAGCTTTCATAATTTTATTTGTCTATAGTTTTGATTGATGGGATTCTAACAGTTAATCCTCTTTGTCAAGAGACATGGTGGAGATCAAAATTCTGTTTCTGAATTCAGTAACAAGAAAGAAAATAATGCGCACAAACAAAACTGCATGCCTGCCAAAATTTGCAGTCAGTGACAAAAGCATTTAAAATGTCACAATTGTTGATGTATTTTCATGGTATTATACAGTAATTATCAGCTGATTACAGTGTGCATCATGTCTCTTATATTTCACAATTTTCTAATGTTTTATTATACACACTTGTGCTTTATTCCTGTTGGCAGGTCCTTTAGATCTAATATATGCCTTCTCGCTATTTCTAAATATCATTTTGTGACAATGTCATTAGAGTTCATAGATGTATTGATGTTACTGTAATCTGATCTCATGAACTATTAACTACCATGTGGGTTGCTAGGCTCCATTTTGGAGGGGAATCAAGACTCAGTGCCTCTAACTAGCATGTCATAGAAAGTGAATAATTAAGAGTTTGTATTGAAATCATTTGTGTTGGGTAAAAACGGGCAGATATTGCAGCCTAGCTGAAGACAACAACAACACAGTATGCCAACCAGCTTTTTAAGGGTGAACATAGAAGATGAAGATCTGTTATAAGTATTTGAAATATTCATGTTTGCTTTTGTAGATACATATTGCCATTTCTTTAGCGGTTATTGGAAACATTGTTTATGTAAGCTCATTCATTTCCATGTTTTTTTTTCTAAATTATTTGAGTTATTAACAATTATTGGAAGTTCTGATGTCACCTAGCTTATTTAGTTTGGCTCTGTGGCTTTGAGGTCATTGAATGCATTTACAATTCATGATCCTTGAGTTGCTGGTTTCAATTTCGCCATAGATGATTCATTTGAAAAGAAAACGGTTCTTGCGGTTTTCAGATGACAGTACAAGAGTCAACCTGTGAAAAAGATTGGGGCCTCACCACATAATATTCACAAAGGTATTAATGGGTGCGCCATAAGTATAAAGTAAAAGACTCTTTTATACGCCTTCAGGTGTATAAGGCATATAGGGCTAGACCTATGTTTTATATACCAGTTAGCAGATGAGTACACTGTGGCCAGCCTTTATTTTGGAGATGGCACACACTTCAAATTTCTTGACCAGTTGCACACTTCTTAATTAATTGAAACGTTATTGATTTACGCTTTTTTTTATTTTTCTCTCAAGGCCAGCTTGTCCATGCAGGAGCTAGAAGAGGAGAGACTAAGAACTATGCAAGATTACCTGAACAAGTACAATAGCCATGTTTCTGTTCTTCCATCAAAGCTCTCTCAGGTACATGACTCTCACCCGTCTAGAAGAATCATGATAATAACATTTAGCGCTAAAGAGCAAAAATCACATTTTATAAACAGTGAACTAGAAAAAACATCTTTACAAAAGTCTGGTTATTTCTTCAATTTCTTGCATAGATAATATGCCGAGGTGGCATAACGTTTAGTGTGCTAGCCTTCAAAGACAGTGTTTTGAGTTCCACCGCAACAGAGGCAAGATTATTTTTTTTTCTTTCTTTTTAGCAAGTATGGCTCTGGGATCAACTAAACTTGATTATAAAAAAATTAGTTTTAAGAACTTTTCTTAGTTTGTTATTTTAGGAATTGTCTGGTAAGTAAAGACGACAAGAAAGAAATCTTGCCACCACAATGGTGCTCTATCATATCACTGTTGTTACTTTGGTGCTCTCTCTTTTCCAGAAAGCTATTTGGACTTCAGAACCAGATAATATTATCTTTATAATGTGTTAAAAATCATCGTATTGTTCCTGGGGCTCCATTTTGATGAACAAAGAATAGACCCATCCCCTCCTAACAAACAAGTCTTAGGAAACTAATTAGGGCTGTTTCCTTCAGAGTCAGAGGGCATCTGCCTGAGATACAGGGAACTGACGTACAAGTAAGTTGGATCTGTAAAATGGATGTCTACGCAACAACCAGACACTTTCCACCTGAGTTTACAGCCAGTGAGCATGAAGAAGAAGAAGAAGAAGAAGAAACATTTAAAACTTCTTAGAGATATGGCAAAACAGACAGCACCAAAGTGGGTTTTTTTTTAAATTACTGTCATGAAATGATCTTTAAACTATTTTATTTTACACTTACTTGAGTCAGTCCTTGTATGTAGAATGAGATAGACTCTCACAAGAATATAAGATTTTAATGATAATTGAAAATGAAAATAAATTATACTTTGAGAACAACATATGTAAAGACTATCAATTATTTTGTGGGACACTCCAGAGACTTCCTGTCAGCAATGGCTAAAAAACAGTTTTTGTGTGTGTTGGTATGACAGGGTTTAAAAGAGGCTGAGAATGTATTTCTGATTTTGTATTGGAAAAACCTTATACTGATGCTTTAAATAACCTGTTTTTCTTTGTTGGTTGTTAGTATTTTGACAGCCTCGGTGGGGTTGTAAAAGCTGTTGACATTCAGCAAGATCTCAAAACAATAGTACAGGAGAAAGGAATGAAAGAGGCACATCGGCCGGAACAGATATTGGTAGATAGTTATGTAAGTCATTCTTCTCTTTTGCCCCTCTTCTTTGCATCCTCTTCTTCTTCATCATCATTTCTTCCTCTTTCTATTTGTTTGACTTGTTCTTTTTCTGATTTATCTCTCTCTTTTTTTTTTTTTTTTTTGCTCTTTCATTTTAATTATTGTTGTATTACTGTTGTCACACTATGGGCAGATATAATTAAAAAAAAACATAATGAAGATATCTTGAAAGAGGTTAATTCACAAAGAAAACATATTACCCGCATCAGAATAAGACAGTCTGCATTCTCTGAGCATGTCAAAAGATGAGGAAACCTGAAGTATTTCATGGTAACATGATAGTTACAGGGGAAGAGTGCCAGAGGGATACTAAAAGGGATGTTAAATGTTTACATAATGTCATGGAAGAACATCTGTATTATAAATGATTGACAGTACATACGAGAGAAGATTGTAGACAGACATGATTATGAGTGCCACATGGTCCAAATGGGGAGAGTTCATATCATCAATAATTTTGTACATACTGACCAAAAAGTCACTGTAATTTATTCTTCTTCTTTTTTTTAACTGCTACAGATGTCAAAGGAGATATGAGGTTCTGCTTCTAGCTCTTCTTGCCACTTTGACCATTAACATATCATACTGTTATATGATTAAAATTGATTGCGTGGGCAACTGCTGATCTGTTGGTGACTTCTGCTACCATCAATGATGAACTGTATTTCTAATGTCGGACTGTTTGTGTTAGCTGTTCGGATGGCTACCATATGTTTTAATGCATGTGTATGCTAGATACGCTGAGACAGCAGTCTGTTAATCTTTCCACAAGAGACTGTGATAAACATTCTGTGTGTTTTTCGTTGGCACAAGAGAGGAGAAAACATGGGTGACCCGTTTGCTATGAAGCTGAAACTAAGACTACCAGACTGTTGTAGAGTTTCTCTGATGTTATCTTTCCATCTTGTTCTTGGTCTACCTCATGATCTTTGTCCTTTTTTTTGTTGGTGTATGCCTTGTGTGGTATGGCTTCACAGGGCATTCTTTCCTAAGTGGGCAAACTATTTGATTTGCTGTCTGTGTATATATTTTAGAATTGGTTCTGTGCCAGCCTTTTCTTTTTATGACCTCATTCCTTATTTCATGTCTTCTAGTGCAGACATCTCATGTCCATGGTAACTTATTAACTCTTCAAATAGTTTGAAATACAGTTGTTTAGTTTGACATGGGCTTGTTTAGTTTGATGTGCGCTTGTTTAATTTGACATTTGTTTGTTGAGTTTGAGATTCAGTTGTTTAGCAAGTCATGCAGTTTTTTTAAATAAATACAGGCTGAAGATAGCCAGGTGACAATGGACAATGAGAGGAGAAAAGATGCACTGAAAAACTACCTAATTCACTTGCACCAATACATTGAAAAAGAGAGAAAGGGAAAGGAAGGTGAGATTAACATAGTGACATGTTTGTGACTAACATGTTACACAAATATCTGACATTGATAATCAAAATTCCTAGTGTGGGTCCTAGGGCCCCATTATGGGGAATCAAAATAGACCCCTCTGCCTTCTCACAAGCATGCCATATAAGTTGGAGTGCATCTGCCAGAGAGGCAAAGAACCAACAGTCTGCATACAAATAAGCCAGATCTCCAAAATGAATGTGCACACAATACTCCAAGTTCTGTAATAGGGCAAAGCCTAGCTGTGGCTGAGTAACCAGAACTTCATACCAGAGTTTACAGCTGGTGAACACCAAAAAGAAAAATCAAAATGTTACAAAAGTTTTACTAATAATTTATTTTAAAATTCAAACAATAATTGTTGAAAGGGAATCTTTCAGTTCTAAAGAGAACATAAATGCAAACACCCATTCTTTGTTTCATATGCAGTTTAATTTTTCAACACTTCTATGTCATTTCTACTTTCTGTATTACTATTACCTAACCATAGGATTTTGTTTTAGGATGAAAACAAAAACATGTAAATATCATATTAATGATTATGTTTTTTTTTCTTCTTTTTTTTTATAGTTTTCCTAGCTGTTTTCTTGTTTTTGTTTTGTTTTGTTCATTGATAAAATTTATATTGTGTTCATATGCTGTTGTTTGTCTGTGTTTTAATTTGTTTTTTGTTTTTGTTTTTTTTGTTTAAAGATTTCTAATTTATAGTACTCAATACAAAACAAAAACCCCCAAAAAAGCCACAGCTGTCTACTGAAAGGAACATAATTTTGACATTCCAAGTCTGTGTAATTTAATGAGTGAAAATGTTCAAATTGCACACAAGAATACCTTAAGATTTAACCAAACATTTGACAGTTCTTTTGTACGTCATCAGTAGTTTTTACGCATACAGACTTTCCTGTCAAGTAATAGAAACATGCAGTCAGATAACTATGTGCTTCTTTTTTGTGTGTGGATAGTGTATCTGTATAAGTTTATCAAATAGTAAACATTGACATTAGTTGTATATTGCCATTTCTTTCATAGGTGTTCAAAAGCTGGTTGAGGTCTATAAAAACAAGCCCAGCTTTGCAGATGCAGACGCACAAGAAGAGACACGACAAAGCTGCAACAGGTGAGAGAAAATTGTTTCTTTGCTGTTTTATTATCAACTCATATTTAAAAGTAGTAAATAGTATAGGAGATGTTTGATAATCATCCAGTTTGGGTGTTCTGTTAGTCTAGATTTTCACATCCTCTTTATTCTCACAGAAAACATTTAACTTTTAAATATAAGGAGAGTAGATTGATGAGATAAAAGGTAATTTTTGCTGTTTTATTTTTAAACATGCAGAATTATTTGCCTCACAAATTAGTACATTTGTTCATTTATCCATAACTTCTTTCCTGCTGTTTGCTGTGTGTGTCCCTGGAGAACTAGCTATTAAGAAGATATTCCCCTTGTTTTCCATCTTCTTCTTCAGCAGTCACATTTGCTATCTATCTATTCTAGTATGGATAACAGGTATGGTTTGTTTTAGATCTTCACCGGTGCCCCATATATTGTCTTGAAAGTTTATTTAATTCTAAACATTTATTTTATTTCATTCTAGAAAACATTTATTTCATTCTAGACAGCAATTATTTCATTCTAGACAGCAATTATTTCATTCTAGACAACATTTATTTCATTCTAGACAACATTTATTTCATTCTAGACAGCATTTATTTCATTCTAGACAGCAATTATTTCATTCTAGACAACATTTATTTCATTCTAGAAAACATTTATTTCATTCTAGACAGCAATTATTTCATTCTAGACAACATTTATTTAATTCTAGACGACATTTATGCTCAATTTCCTGGAGGCCAGTCATTATAAGATCAACGGCAGCCTATGCAGGATTGAAGGCAAGACCATTCCAGCTAGTACGTTTTCACAGTACATTGAAACCCTCAGGGACAAACAGGTACTTTACTAATTTGGTGCCACAAAGCAAGCATATTGTCTGTCCACATGAGAATGACTTATGCAGAATACATATTCTATTGCAGCAATCCTTGTACTTTTACCATCAACCTTTCAGCTCCAAATTTTAGGATAAAATCACTGATGTGGAGCTGTGACAGAGAACTAAATAGATTCCAATTGATCAAGAGGTGAAGAAAGGACACCAGCATTGTAATAGGACACAATTTTAGAAAACCTAAGGATTATTTGGAACCACTTAAGACTGGAACTCACAAAAGCATAGAAATAAGGGCAGGAAAAGGATAGGAAAGACAAGGAGATGCATACAATAGCAAAGAAGAGAATGACAAGGCGTGAGATGGTTGAGGGTCTATGCTCCATCGGGGAATAAAAGGAAGAAGAATCAATTTTACACTTGTTTTCTCGGGGATAAATATACATTGTTTTCTTTGTGTTTTGAGGCTATCTTTCATTGTTTATTCACCCAGTGGTATTTTAAATATTTTTTAAAGCAAAAAGCCAACCTCAGCTCATCCTGATGTGGTGTTATATGCCACATAGGGCCCACAGTTTATTTTTCTGTTCTATCCTTTGCAAGTGCTTTAACAAGAATAGATCACAATTTTTTTACATATTTTTTTTAAACATGAAGAATTTGTTAGATTATTCAGTTGAAATGTAATGTAGATGTCATGTGGAAGAGAGATTAAGAAATGTTGTAAAAATTGTAAAAATGTATTCTTCATGACTTGATCAGAATCTTCTTGTGAGTACCTTGCGTCTGCCAATGAACATAGCCCTGGAGGGAAGCAACGATTACTTGCCGAGCCATCCGGCGAATGATTACTATCAGGAACTTAATTTACCAGAAGATGAATTCAGTAAGTTTTATGTACTATTGTTATTGATTGTATAGCACAGAAACATGTGCAGTGAATCAGCAATATGAGGGTCAATTGGAACTGTCTAAATACTGTTGTATTGATAGAAAGGAAACATTTCTTGATTGGGAAAGCACGCAAACAAAGAAATAATAAAAAACTGAAAGTAGATAAAACATTACAGAAGGTTAACCCTTTAGCCCCAGAAATCTGTGGGGGGGGGGGGGGGGGGGGGGGGGGGAGATGGGCCTTGACCCTGAAAATTCCTTGAAAAAAATTCTTTTAAAATAAAATTTTTTTTTTAAAATAATTTTTAAAAAAAAGGTGGGGGGGGGGGGGGGAGTGGTGGGGGGGGGTGTATAACCGGAATTAAAATTTAAAGGAATGCATTCCCTTGGATGGAAAACAGATTTTTACTATCTCTCATACGATGCAGGATTAACGGCCAAAGGGTTAAAGTCGGTTAATGTCTTCATCTAAATACATAGACATAACCTCTGTGACCTCTATCACTCAGGCTTGTAGGAAAATGTGATGTTAACTTGGCTTTAGCAAATAGCAAAGCTATTTGGCTCAAAAGAAAACCCTCCTAAATGGTGTTTTTAGTTAATATGTTGACCTAAACATTTGTGTGTATGGGAAAACAACCTTTAGTCTTAACTATACGTCTCGTAAACAGGTCGCTGTAGACAAATCAGAAAATTGATATTTACAGGGGAGCAGACCAACCAGAATTGTTGGTTTTGCAGCTTCTTGATGCAAAAGGGTTAAACTTGCATGTACATGAGAATGTCAGCTTAATAGATCCATAGGGAACTGTATTTCTGGTAATCTGGTAATTTTAGTTTCAGCTTCATAGCAAACGGGTCATCCCATAGTTGCTCCGCTCCTGTTCTAACGAAAAACACATAATGTTTATCACAGTCCCTTGTGGAAAGATTGACAGACTGCTGTCTCAGCAAATCTAGCATACACACGCATTAAAAGCATATGGTAGCCATCCGAAGTGCTAGCACAAACAGTTCGACATTAGATGCAGTTCATCATTGATGGTAGCAGAAGTCACCAAAAGATCAGCAGTTTCCCACAGGATCAATTATAATCCCATAATGGCCCCACCAATTTTGCGACAACTGGCATCGCACCATTTTCTGAATCGACAATTCACACCACCACGTTGGTCACAGTCAAAAAACATTCCAAATGAAATCTGTAGCTCACAGTGTCACGCCATGCACTCAACTCAGAAGCTGGGCAACAAAACTATATCCTTCCAGTCTACAAATGGAGCAAAAATGCATCGGCCACCGTCTGGCATAAGCAAAACATTTTACCTCGGCTCAAAACAGTGGCTGTGCCTAGCATCCATTTTGACCTGAAGCATTATGTGAGGTTTAATAAACGGTCACTCCAGCAGTACCCTCACTATTAGCTGGGGGAAGGGACTTAGGACATTACATCCACCAGCAAGCGTCACCCCAACAACGACCTGACTGCATTCGCTAACGACTGTTCACCCAACAGCCATGTAGTTCTTTGGCACGAAGGAGACACCTTGAACTTGGGTTTCAGACTGCCGACTCCCTACAAGAAGATGTATGTGTGCTACTGGTGTCCCATAGCCAAAATACCATCTTACTGTATTACTCAAATTCAGCACTCATACTCAAACACGCAGTGGTTAGAAAAAAAAAAACACACAAACACACACACATATATACATATACATACACTCATTACCTGCCACCCGCTTGCTTGCTGGTGCAGCACACATGACTAAATATATATATATATTGGAAGAGAGAGAGGAGAGGAGAGGAGAATCAGGCTGAATGACCACAAATATTTGAGACACTGACACAGGGAATTCCCTATGCACACAAGGTCGGCATGACTGGCTCCAAGACGGAGACAGTGAATTCAATTGGCTCAGTCAGATAAGATGCAGTCCCTGTTGTGACAGAAAGTTGACTGTAATAAAGGACTGCTGTAGAAAGGTGCACCCAAGGGACAGTTTCAGAAAGAGATGCATACTTTGTGAGGGAAACTGTATTTGGAAACCATAACTGTGAAGCTGATACTAGTGCAGAAATGGTAACATTTTGACCTAATGGTTTCTTTGTTGTTAATATCTCTAGTGATATTAAATAGCTTAAACTGTATATAAGTAACTACATATCTGTGGTGAAAGTGACAGTGAAACAACATACATTATCTTTTAACATCAAACTATTGACATAAAGATAAAAGACTAAAGTTTACTATATATAAGTAACTACGCACCTGTAGTGAAAGTGACATTGAAATAGCATACATTCTGTTTTAACATCAGACTATCGACATAAAGATAAATGACCAAACTTTAAAACAAGTTCAACATTTTAAATACTTGGGTAGAATCTTCACTTGTGATGGCAGTATAGACAGAGAGATTGAAACAAGAATCCAACAGCCAACAATGTCACATATCAGCAGACTCCAATTGTGAAACAGCTGGCTGTCACAGAAGAGATTAAAACACAAATTATAAATGCAGTCTTTATGCCAACCTTGTGCTATCAATGTCAGACTTGGAAACTACAAGAACTTTTGGAACAACACCTATAATTAAATTCATTGAAAAACAAAGACTGAAATAGTTTGGTCATTTAATGAGAATTGATCCAATGATGCTGGCAATGATAGCGTACAACATGGAAGTAGAAACACCAACATGCACGGGACAACCAAGAAGAAGATGGTGGATGGAGCCACTGATATCTTGAGACTCCACAACATCACATCATACAGGGCAGCTGAGCGTGCCCTAGCTAGGAACTGATCATCTGTTAACCTGTGATGCCTAGCGGTGCAGAGCAGAAAATGGACAAAAGAAACAATGTTTTAAGTTTCTGTTACAGTACAGAACTAGTAAAGACTAGGTAATCTTATAGTAGTGAAAACAGTACAGACTGTATGTAGTTCCATAGCAGTAGCAATATATACTGCTTTGTCTGGTTTTGGCTTGTAAAGAAAACATTACTGGCACAGAAATACCTTTATAATGGTATCATTATCCTGACATTCTTTTTCTTCCTGTTACCTCCCAAGGAAGCATTGGTCCTCAAATTACATCTGGCCATATATCAACATATCAAGGCAAAACGTTTGGCCACGAGAAACACCGGTACAAGCCAAAACTTCATGGGTTGCTGATTGAATTACAACAGACAGTGAAGTTCATACTGTGGACAGAATTGAAGATATAGATAATCTATTTCAAGCGAACGAAAGAAGAAGAAAACCTGGCAATTTGGGAATTTATTTATGATTTATTATATTTCTACAGGGTGAGGTAGTCTGTCTTTTGTCACCTTTCCTTAATCACCTCTTATGACACGCATGATGTTACTGTGCTGCCCGTCTCTGCTTTCCTTTTAAGCCCTGATACAGCACAGGTGTCTCCTTGCATAAATTGGAAGATCTGCACACTGTACACAGGCTTTATAATGCTGGCATCCCAGTGTGGGTTCCGGGGCACCATTGTGGGGGAAAACTAGAAGAGACCTACTGCCTCACAACAAGCATGTCATAGGAGTCGACTAATTTGGGCATCCATTGAAGCTGGAGTACGTTTTTCTGAGAGGCAAGGAACCAAAAGTCTACATACAAAAAAAGCCATGTGTGTGAAACAGGTGTGCACATAACACTGAAGTTCTGTAACAAGAGCCAAGTCCAGAGGTGGAGGAGAACCTAGAACTTTCTACCTGAGTTTACAGCTGGTGAACACGATAAAAAAGAATATATTACTGGCAAGGATAGAAATGCTTGTATATCAAGAACCACACATCCTGTTGTGGCTAGAACCAGCCATATCAAGCCATCATCAGCTAGAAGCTGATACCTCTATGTGAGATTTGGAGTGTTCTGTGAAATGATATTTATGTAGAGATGGCCATTCCTTAGTATATTTTAGAAGCGATTCTCTTCCTGTGGAAGACTGCACTCAAAAGTTAGAAGAATATACTTCTGCCTTATTTATCTTTAGTTGATGAAGAATTCCCATCTCCAACTGTGATTGGTCACTGTAAAGCTTTATATGATTATGATGCAGCCCAAGCTGACGAACTGTCAATCAGAATTGGTAAGTTAAATGTATGTTACTTGTGAAGTGTCCAGCAGAACAGGTAAGTGAACACTTTGTTACCTGTTAGTGTCCATAATAACTGGTAAATCAATTTTATGCTATTTGTGAAATGGCTATCATAATAGCTACGTCACTGGTATGTTAATTGTGAAGTGTTAAACATACTGGTAAATCAGCAGTATGTTACTTACGAGATGACCATCAGAACTGGTAAGTCATTTTTATGTTACTTGTGAAATGGACATCATTGTCAGCAAGTAACATGTAAACATATCTCTCAGGGTGGATATATCAAGCGGGTGTCATTTATGAAGTAAATCTGAAAGGAAACACATTATAAATTGCACACATTCATTTCTCTGTAGCAATCAGAAAAGAAATTAGATATAATAGTAATACACAATAACTTGTGTGCTACCACCATGGCAAATGATTAGTGAGGTCTGTTGTCTCAGGTCCATTATCGCTCCGATCTCATTAGCTCCACAAATATAAAATTACTCTTACACCCATTCTGTGTGTACAGCAAAAATTAAATATTTACGGTGAATCCTAAATGTAGCTAGAGAAGACAGGATCAGAAATGACAATATCAGGAAAGAAGTTGGGACGGAATCAGTGAAAAATTATGTCAAGAGACAGCAGGTCAAATGGTTTGAACTTGTGTAGAGACTACCAACAGACAGTGCACCACAGACAGCCATGACACTTGGACGTATTGGAAGCAGAACCAGAGGTCAACCACGCAAGCGATGGACAGATGGAATATCTGCAGCCGTAAATACCAGCATCCACAAAGTACATACACCTGATACCACTTTCAGAACCTGATGTGAAAAGCAATAGACGACTAGAGGACAATAAAAAAATTTTTTTTAAATGTATTAATTAACTATCTTGTTTGTTTTAGTACCCAGAAGCCATGTGTTGTTAACCCTTAGGCTCAGTATTATGGATATCGCAACCTTTCGGCCTTGATTCCATTGAAAATACCGTAAATCTGGGAGAAATGTGGCTTTTCTGCCTACCCCCGGATTGAACCCGGACCACAAGGAGTTCGTCACCCGGTCTCCGCGCAATCCGGTTTAGCCAACTACGCTAGAGAGCCAGGCATTAACTATCATGTGGGTAAATACAAAAGTAAAGATCCCATTTCCACGCCTTTAGGCATGTAGGGCTAGACCTATATTTTTATAGATTATATTAAAAAAATAGGGCTAGATGTGGGGATGTGGTCAGCATCATGCCGACCACCTTTACTTCCCGGGACTGCACCCGGTACCCATTTAAGGCTGGGTGGACCTAGGAGTCAAAGTCATTTTTGAAAAAAAAGACCAGCTATGCCAGGGAGCAAACCCACCAACCTTCCAACCAGCAAGCGAGCATCTAGCTGCTACGCCACGGTGACTTCCAAGTGTCTTGTAGCCTTATTGAAATATTCACGTCTGGCAGCTCCAGGTTGTGCATTCATATCCACTAACCTAAATTCTGGATATCTGAATATATACAGTGTAATATATGTAAAAAGGACCTTTTGCCACACCTTCAGCAGTATTGCACATATAGTGCTAGATCTATATTTTATAGACCAATAAGCACTCAGTACGTGATATGATAAACATCACCATGTCATTCTGTACTTCCCAAAACTTTACCTGGAACCCATATCAGGCTAGATCAACCTGAAAGCCAGTGTCATTTATAAAAAAAAAAGGACTGGATCATTTCAGATTTGAACCTACAGCCTTTAGATCTACAGGCGAGCATCTAGCTGCTACACCATGGCAGCTCCCATAAAATATATGTATGTATATATAATACCTGTCGGCTCTGTGGCTAAGTCGATGTGAACGCTTCGTAATGCCGGGATGCCGGGTTCAATCCCAGCTTCGGGCCATGCGCCTTGCGTTGGTTTCGACAGTGGTATCAAGAGACCCGACCGTCCAGAAAGCAATGGCAAACTACTGGACGTAAATTTGCCTAGAACAACCACACAACAGCCAGGGTCTGTTGGGGTTGGTTCTGCAACGTCCTGTAAAGGATACCCAACTAACCTTATATATAATACCTTTTACTTGTTACTGTCCAGGTCTTTCTTCTACTACTTAAAAGCGAGATTATGTGGGTTTTTTATTTTTTATTTCAGGTGATGTAATAAGTATCTATGAAAAAATCGGTGACGGTTGGTGGGAAGGTGAACTTCATGGCGTTCGAGGAATCTTTCCCTCTACATATGTTGAAGAATGTTGAAACTGATCACATCATGTATCTTCCAAAGACTTTACTCAATAGCTGCATACCAAGTTCACAGTAGTACTTCTTAGATGTTGAGAGAATTTTGAGCAACAACTTTGTGACTTCATTTTAATAGTCAGTTTAAAGTTCAGAGGTTCGACTTCATTGCAAAAGGTTTTATCTCATATGGCTTGGTCTGTTTCTGCAGAAAGAAAAGCTAGTCACCTGCTGAGAGTGTCACACTAGGTGCAAATCCCATATGTCTAGGGATGATCCCCAGGAATCTGTATAAAAATCGCACTTGTGAACCAAATTGTGCAGTCCGTAAAATAAACCCAAGACCTTCAGAGCACGAGGCAAGCACAATAATCCCTTAATCATTGAAATACCCCACAGCGTATTAATAGTTCAATGTGAATTATTACAATGACTCCCTGGATTAAACATTCCTTTTTGTTTCATTAATAAAGAACATGTAATTTTTTCTCTTAACCATTTTATTTTCCTTATAATGAGATTCTTCTAAAGAGCAATATGACTGGCTTGAAAGGCTACTGTCCCACACTAAATTTTGACCTCCTATGCTGACCCTAATTTGTTACTTCAATAAAGTTCTTCTTCAAATCCTTGCTCCTGGCTTATCGTAGTATCCATATAGACTGACCTGTGTAGATATTTCTTATCCAGAAAGAAGATTGCTTGTGTGATTTATTCCATATTATGATTGTTATGGAAGCTTCTGACCCTGCTTTTCTATTGCTGGTTTGTGTAACTTGTAATGAGTTTACTTTGTAAATAAAAACTAGATTTGGCATTTTTCTTGAGGATGCTAGTCTTGTGCAATTCTTTAATTACTCATGCTTGAACCATATTTGTTGTTGTCTGAACAATATTTTCAGATACATGTGCATTTAGTAAACATTCCTTTGGCATTTGCTTTCTTTGGTGCCCATGTAAGTTGTAAAGAGACTCGTATAAATTGTCCAGTTTATGCAACTTGCTGTTATTTTTAATTGTGAGCAATCATTTCTCAATATACTCTCATACCTAAGTTTAACAGACCACCATTTCTCAGATTTTAGAAACAGTTGACAAATCTGGAGTACACAATTTATTTTTTATTTTTTTATTTTATTTTATTTTAATTTTAAAGTTAAAAGGCATACATGTGACATTTTGTATAGATCAGAAATGTGTAAAACAAGAACAAAAAAAAAAGCTTTTGGCATATTGAGAATATAGAACTAGACCTGTAATATTGACCAATCAACACTTGGTGGGTTATGTGGTCAGCATCATGTCAACCACCTTTGCTTCCCAGGACTTTACCCGGTACTTAATTAAGACTGGGTCGACCCAAGAGCCAAGGTCATTTAAAAAAAAAAAAATGTTTTGTTAGGACTTGGCCCACGACCTTCAGATCCGCAGGCGAGCATCTAGCCCCTGCACCACAGCAGTTCCCAGAACAGAAATTAACAAGTTGGAATTATAATTATGTTACAGTGGATGTTGTGCTTGGGTATTCTTTTCATAATGTAATTTAGGTGCTTTAGTCAAATTTTCAAAATGCCCTCTACACCAATAAAACCAGCACAGTTAGATAGCTGTAAACAATCTCTTTCCAATGGTACCTCATTTAGGCTTGTACGTCATTTCTGAGCTGAGATATGTAGGTTTTTGTGGAGATGAGATGTAAAAAACAGCTGTTGAAAACTTGCGTCCCAGAAACAAGAAGTTTTCTCTGCGCAACCAAACTGCGCACTTATCATTTTGGCTTTGTTTGCATTGGACAAGATGGCAGACAATGAGACACAGCCACATAATAGCGATTGCCTGAAAAATATCACTGTAAATCTAAAAAGCCACTGATAAGAAAGAAATTTTATATACAAATGTAAAATTGGACGGAGAATTCAATTATAACTAGCATTACCAGTACGAGTAATGTTAAAGCCTAAAGCCAACCTTGAATACTTACCGCTATTTTTAATAAAACTGATGTAACAGAAAAACAGAGGACGTCCGGCTGTCGTAGACATGCGCTGTTAATCGGGTTCGTTCCCGCCGTTTTCAGCTATATATAGCTGGTGAAAATCACACCAATCGCAAAATTTCATGAGAGATTAGGACCCATCCCGAAACCAGCCGACATTTCCCAAACAAGTTTTAAACGGTTTCCATGGTAACGAAAATTGCCAAAAGACCGCAAATTGCCGAATGTAATTATTTGTATTAGCCAGTGCAGACCCATGTCTGTATGACAGCTTGAAATATTGGACATTATGTTTACATCCTTTTGTCTGTTAAAATAAGGTATAAGCATAATTATGTTTACACTCATTTGGTGAAGACAACACTTGGTTGATTATTGCGCTGTAGCTGCATTTAACCTCTTAAATATACTTTCTTTAATTCAAGGCAAAGATTTTGACAAAGAAAAATTAAAAGCCTGCCATTGTTAGCTGGCATTTAGAACACCGTGATATTTGCATCCTCCCTGTAGGATAGGTACTGACTGAGAAATCTGCAAATCTGCATTGCAATTATTACATGTCATTGTACATATGAATAATAGTTTGTTTGTTCACTGTTTCTTTGTTGAATAATTATATGTAACTTTAAAATGCAGATTGTGTATGTCATCTTATGTGTGTCGAATAATGTGTTACATATTTTCTGTACATTGTATAATATGATCACTTACATCTCAACAGTAAAAAACACTTAGCATATTTTCTATTTAACCACCTGTAGCAATGTTTCAGGTGTAGCTTGATCACTGGGTTTTCTGAAAGGCTACAGTGTGCAGATTATAAATGTATTTTATTCCTGACTGCTAAAGCACACATTGTTTTCATCATCAGTACCGCTTGGTGAGGATTTATATTAGGGCTGTACCGAATAGTGATTTTCACTATTCGGCTGAATACGAATAGTGGGACCAACTATTCAGCCGAATTCGAATACGAATAGTGTATCATTATCATCAGGTGACTTGCCGACTGGCGTGTGCGATCATGCCTCTCCACAATCTGCTATCTCTTGCAGCATGTATCAGTTCGTGTGCTGACACACCTCCATGCCTTGCAACAAGACTGTCAACAATCTTCTATCGTTGTCTTCCTCTATCCCTCCTTCCACAGATCTTTCCAGTGGTCACCAAATGTTCCATTTTCCCTCTTCTCATAACATGGCTAAAAAAAAGACGACTGTCTCCTTCTGATGTCTGTGATTAGTTGTTTTGGGCTCCCACCTCTTTCAAAACCATCGTTCGCTCTGCCGTTTGTTCGGTGTAATTTAAACGCACCTTCATATTCTCGTTATCAATATCTTCAGATTTTATTTTGGCAAAGACACCCTGAAAAAACAAAAAATGCATGATCGCTATCTTTCTCCCTCTCTCTCTCTCACACACAGACACACTCACACTCACACACACACACAGACACATGCTGCGTTTGGCATTTTATGCAGTTTGTAACATGCAACCGGGTCGCAGTTTCCCCCGCTACGACAGGCTAAGGCAACAGCAACTATTGTGTTAATGAGAGAGTTATTTCAGTCCAATACAGTGTATGCAGAAACGGGATTAAGGTAACCACTATTCGCCCCGATGCGAGTACGAAGCGAATATTCGGTACAGCCCTAATTTATATTATTATTTTGTGATACATTTTTTAATTTTTCGGCTGTCGAAACAAGAAGAGATATCTTGGCTCTAAATTCAGTCACCAAAAAGACATGACCATACAAAATCCACATTATTTCTCTCACTTGTATCTGCTAGAATATTTAAAGATCTTATTAATGAGTGAAACTAGTGGCAGCCGACAAAACAGAATCTGTCAAACCACATTCTGGAATGAGGGTATCATGGTTTATTACGACAAACTTTTTACAAACTTTCATCTTTGCTTTTTAAAACAAACTCTCATCTTTTTCACAAACAACGTTGCTGCATTCTGTTAATTGACATTTAGGAGCTGATGGAAGAATTATTTTGGCAACAATAAAATACATGACATGGTTTAAAAAATCATAGTGGAGTTTGAAATTAAAGACTAGCCTAATGTAGGCAGTGATACAAGTAGGACGAGATGAATCCATCAAGAGATGGATAAGCAGCAAGTCTGCCAGTGTGTATAACTAAAGGAGAGACATAAAAAGTGTCCCTGCAGCCAAGGTTTTTGTATTGGGTACAGTTTTTCTATTTATGTGTACAATATTTCTTTGTAGAACTTGAGAACCTCTGGTATTCTTGTTGAACTGGTCACTGTTAGTGAAAAAACTTATTTTATAATGAGCAAAAAGTTTTCTTTTTCCTACCATTTTACTCAGAATCTCTGTTTCTGTTTCTTTATTGAAATATTTCTGTGATTTTTAAGGTTGTGTTCGGTTGTTAATCAGTCTTTGCACATATTTCTGAAAGTCTTCATATTTTTTTAACATTAAAAAATATCTGTAAATTGGCAAATAAGTGTGAAGAAGTTGAAAGGATGTTTCATTTGATCACCAAACAGGCGTCATGATCACATAGTACAGTGTATTTCCTGAATGTTTGATTTATTTCTGTTTTAACCTGTGCATTATTGTGCATTCTACATGGTGTCAGTACTTTTGTTTACATTTTGGACATTGTGAGTTTCTGTTATGTTTGCATTGTCATTTTGCTCAGGCCAGAACTTTTGTGATATTATTTCAAGAATTAAATGACTTTGCTATATTTAAGATTAAGACTGAACAAAGAATGTCAGGGACTGTTCATTCTTTTCTTTCACAGGAATTCTCTATATTGTTTTATTCTTATATCCATGCCAACAAGATATCAGTATGTTTTCTTTACAGCATTTAAATATAAACATTTTCTTAGACCTTCCTATACCCTTTATTCCCCCCCCCCCCCCCCCCCTTTTCCCTTTTTCTCCCCTGGTGGAGCATAAGTTCTCAACTAAGTTGTCATATCCTTAGCAGTCACATGCAGCTCATTGCATGTCATCCCTGTCTTATTAACTGCA